TTAGATGGTAAGCCGGGGTGTATCGATTTGAGTAAATTAGCGTCCTTAAATTTCGAAATATTGCAGTTTCAAGCATTTCTGAAATTTACCGTTATATGAAAAGCGGCCGTAATTTTAGTCCGATTTCAATAATTTTCAACGCTTTGCTTTTATGTGGCAAGCACAATAACCATACCGAGTTTGGTACAAATTGGTACAACGGTTACCGATATATGTACATATATGTGATCATAAGTGGGCGGTGCCACGCCCATTTTTCAAAATTTTACCATAAACGTATAAATTAGCGTTAATAGTTACTGATTTATCGAAGATTTTGTATTTCTCTAAATTACCGTTATATGGGATGTGGGCGTGGTACATTGTACCAAGGCCAATAACTGTGCCAAGTTTGGAAGAAATTTCTGAAATACTGATTACTAAAATATCACAGTTTTCTTATTTCGCCCATTTTCAATACCAACCTACCTTGGATAAATCGAAACCTACATACCAAATTTCGTTGAGATATCTCAATTTTTGCTCGAGTTATCGTGTACACGGACGGACGGACAGACAGACATGGCTTAATCGATTTCTCTATTCATTCTGAGCATTTATGTATACATTTGTCTATATCTATCTCGATTCGTTTTGGCTGTTACAAACAACCGTTATGTGAACAAAATTAATATACCCTTGTGCACAAGTGCGCTCGGGTATAAAAATTGATGTTATCATAAACATATTGCAATCTTCGAAATATTTAATATCGTATACACTGATTCCAAAAAAGTAACATTAAAACATTTATGCATTTTTATTAAATAACTACCAAATGCTTTGCGACGCCTCATAAGTACTTTTGCGTTGACCAACACACAAATAGTGTTGACAAACAAAAACGGCTCATAAAGTAAAAATTATTAGATAGGTTACGTTGAAACGACTAAAGAGAAGCAGTTATTATCATAAAGCTAATACCCGTTAATCCAGGTCGCACAATAAAGACGGATTCTCCAAATATCTCGACTCCACCTCCGTCTGTCGGAAACTCATTTGTATGCCTTTACCGTGGCTTAAGGTTTCGAAGTTATAGCTGATTAAAAATTTCACTCCTATGGGATGTGCCACGCCCATGTCCGAGGTTACTGTGTAGTCACCAGCCAAAGCTCAAATCCATTCAGTAGTTCCGCAGGTTAGTGACTTCAAACAGATAAACAGACAAATGGACAAACAGACAGACAAAAATTCTAAAAATGGTCCAAATGTATTCTGTTATATTCCGTCATTCTTTTAAAGAAATGTTCAATGTACAGACGCCTTTTCTACAGTTTTATAATAGTACATATGTATATATAGATAGATATATAGGTCGATATAGGAAGGGTATAGTAGGGCTAATTAAATTGTAAAACATCGGAAACCATATCGGTTTAATAAATAAGCATATTTTGGCGCTTACACTTTTGCTAAGTGTTTGGCCGAGCTTCGCCTCCGAATGGTCGTCTTTGGCTTCATGTAATTACACAAATGGAGGAAACTGCAGTTTTTCGCCGCCTTCAAACGGCAAATAGATTTTAAGAGAAGCTTTTTAATGGCATAAACACACTCGGTGATTCGCCATTGCCCGCCGATGGGCGAGTAGTGGCGAAAAAAAACCGTTTCTAACTTCGATGTTGCTTGTACCAGGGATCGAATCCAGATCCTACGGGGTGGTAGTACGCAGCTCTAACCACTTAGCCATATCGGCCGCCATATCGATATATGTAAGTATATATCGACGTTTTTCTGGTTATGTATTTCAGTAACGAAACATCAGCATATAGATGTTACTCTCCAAACTCGGCATCCCTAAGCCGAGGGGTTAGAGGTGCGTACAACCACTCTATTATACCCTCCTCATTGTGTCATGAAAAGGCTTCTCATAAAACCATTAAGCTCGGCTAAACACTTAACAAAGCGTCAAATGGTAATGTATTTATTCAAGTTTTTGTTATCTGTAAATCGTGGTTGGCGGAGTCCATCGAAAATCTATGGATGGTTTTTATGTGCCTGGTCAACTGACCGCGATAGAATTGCTAATCAGGCACTAGATAGAGCATTTGAAGTCTGGACAGCTTTTACTGAACATCTAGTTATGTTTAGCGCTAAATCGGAAGCTCTTAAGGCTTGCCATTCAGTATTGATACAAAATGAAGTTGAAGCTTCTATAGCTTCTGAATATATGTGTATATTATTATTATTATTATTATTTCTTAATTTAGCATTAGCTATTTTTAAACTTTCAGGTACATTTTTACATATACATAGTTACAATACTATCTTATAGACTTATTGCGAACTAAAATATGGTTTCTTTAATGTAATCTATTATCAGTCTTCTAAATGCAATGATGTTTTTTTCATTCTTTATATTACTAGGCAGTTCATTAAATAGTTTCAGCCCTTTATACAATAAAATATTCTGTGCCTTATTAGATTTATAGAGATTAATTCTGAAATCATTCTTGTTTTTTAAGGCGTAGGGTTGTACATCCCCTACATATACGATCTGGTTCGTTAGGTACTTCGGTAACAAATTATATTTCATTTTAAATACAAAAAGTAAAACATTCATCACTGTTATTTGGTTAATGTTAAGCCATTTTAAAGTTTTGAGCATATATGCGATCGGGGTCAGCATATTACATAGTAAAATACAACGCATTTCTTTGTTTTGCATTTTCTGTTTTTCATCTCACTAGACCCTAGGAATAGTATGGTCGAACAATACTCGAAATGTGGCTTAACATTAGGATGTTCAAAAAAAAAACGGCAATGCCAGAATTCGAATGCGATCACCCACTAGGATTGTTCTATGCCGAGCGAAATGTTGAAATCAAAAAAATACAAAATAATTTTTCGTAGAAATGGTACAGAATTTTTGCAAATCAATGCTTTGCGATCAGAAAACGCTGTTTCTCTTCTGGACATTTCCAGTAATATTACCCAATCGTTTATTTAGCTGTTTTTAATATTAACTATTTTTTATAGGACCCCTAAAAACCATAAAAAAAGAGCAATGGGGGGACCCATAAAAATCGCTGGTATTAAAAAATGGTAAAATTAAGGATTGGGTAAAATTACTGGAAGTCTTTTGAAGAGGAACAGAGTTTCCTGATCTAAAAATATTGATTTTCAAGATTTCTATATATGTACATATATAACATGGACAACTTTGACCTCTAAGAATGTTTCAATTTCAAAATAAATAAAAAAAAACTGGGGTATAATTTTTTTAATCTTAGGGGGTAAGAGCATTAAAATTCAAACTTTACTTTTTCACATTAATTTTTGGACTACCCTATAGATAAGTGCGCCGTTGTACTTCCCCCCTGCGCACCCGATTTTGAGATTACATAGAAAATTTGCTACTAGGTTCATAAATAAAACAGAAGGAGATTGTGGTGTGTTGCTTCTGTTTTTATTGTACGAATTTATTTTGACAACGGAACAAAGTTTGTATTGTATATGGTTTAGCAGTTTGTTTAATTGTTTTCGAAAAAAAAAATGTATGCACTAAACATGTAAAGCGGAATAGGTTTCAATAGTTAACTTCTCCACACAAAATCTGGCCTACACAATAGGGAATGAAATTGTTTATCTTTACTAGACAATGCTACCATATTACATACTAAATGTATCTCATTTATGCTTAAACAGATTTTATTTGAAATGCTGCCACCGCGTAGGAAAATTCTTCAAAAAATTCCTTTTTATATTTTCATCAAATGTTTCTTAACATAAAATTTCCTTCCTTTTATTATCCATGTATTCGTAAGAACATTTAAAAAAAAACTAGCTTTCAGTCGATTTGGGCCTCCTATTGAAATTTCCTAATGAAAACCGAGTACAGGGTCCAGCAGAATACATGTTCATATAAGTAAAGAATTTTTGAGTCAGTGCGATATTCTAAGAGATCACTGCACTTATATATGTATCCTGTGTTCGTATGGAATAGCAGCTTATGTCGGGAAGCTGGCTTCAGTATAATGCTTACACATTTGTGCGAAATTATCGTATTTGCCAGAAACTAGATTTAAGAGGGGAGCGTTTTTTCTACTTTTCAAAATTTTATTTTTAATTTTTTACTACGTACAAAATACTTTTTTATGGGGCACATGGTAATTATGCTCACAAGAAAAAAATGCATTGTAGCAAACCATAAAATTCAAAGTAAATTTATGGCGTAACTATAGGAATTTTATCTACAATACATGGTGATGCGTTGTGGGGTGTAGAACATATTTGCATCAAAAAGCCAATTTCGATTTATTTTTGGAAAAATATTAAAACTACAATTTATATATTTTTTTTAATTAAAAAAAATATGTATATATATATGCATTTACTTTTCAGGTATTATTTTATATCAACTTATTTAAGTTTTAGTGGTTAAAACCGCTGATTTTATAATTCAAAGCCTTCCAATTCATTTGAAATATTTTTCCGCCGCTTCCAGTGAAATATATTCCTTTATCTGAACGCAAAACGTGTATTAACTACTTCCTGTTTTCATAGCTAAATATTCAGATAACAAAAATATGCATTAAATATGTGAAATAGATTTATTTTCAAAGTTTTGTGGCACAACCACAAAGGCTATGTAAAATAATTGTGCTCTGCGTTTCAGATATTTAGTATGTATATAAAAATCGAGCGTTCCCACAGTTTATGTGGCAACTTTTGCGATAAAGCAAATATTTAAAACAATTTCACAACGTCGTCTATGATTTTTAATGCAGTTCATCAATTTTTTGCACAATATTTCATTTAAAGCAAAAAACTAAATAATCTAAAACGGAAGCGTTGACATACAAACATATTTACTTGAACTAACACATATACACCATAATTAAATAAAACTATTCTCAAGCGTACGCACTTATGTGATTTACTGATGGACTTTTTCAGAATTACTCTAATTTCCATACAATTTATTTGATATTCGCCCAAGGCAGCTGTTTTCAAGCGCTTTTAATTAGTAAGCTTCGGTTAATTTTTTTATCAAAATACTACCACTTACACACGTACCTTAAAAACCACATAAATTATATTCCTCTCCAAAAAAAAAACTATGTATAAAATAATTTAATACACGGTAAATAATTCTTTGTAAATATTTTAAAATTTTCTTTAGCAAAACTAGTTTCAATTTCTTCATAGCTCCCTGTGTTTTTCGCGCGCACCAAAACATTCCACATGCATTCCACAGCTTAATGTGGATTTCAAGAGCCAGCCATTTTAAAAACGAGACTCGTACGCCAGAGCAACTCTGTGTGCGTTGAGCCTCATTTCAGGTGGCCGTTTTATTTGTGCTCCGCTTTATGACTTTTTTCATTTTCCACAGCATTTCTCTCACTGCAACGCGCTCTACCCTGCCCGTTGCATACATATGCATGTATTGTGCACACTCTCGCGCTCTCTCTCTCTCTCTCTCTCTCTTCCCTGGCTTTAATAGGCGGTCATGGCGCGCAGCTTGTATATTGCCTTTGTGAGCTCGGCTTGCTGGTCGCGCCGCTCATAATAGTTTGTGACGCGAAGTGAGTAGTGTTTGTGGCGTACGTTTACCGGATGGACGGATGTTGATGATGGCGACGGTTTAAAAAGAAATAATTTGATTTACAAACAAACAAAAACAACAACTTCATTGAATTGAATAGAAATTCTGCAATAAAACATACAAAGTGAATGTGATTTTCGGGTGTGAAAGCCCCCAATTGAACTGTGCAGAAACGGTGCCTACAATAAAAAATAAAAATAGTTTGTGAAAAGTTGTTGTTGGTATGCAGAACAAAAGTGCTTGATGCGCCGCGTATGGTTTGTTGGTGGTGCTGCTGCTGCCGGCGGAAGAAGTGCATAATAACGCCCGCAAGTGGCAAATTTTACTGTAAATCTAATAAGCGTATTTGAAAATATTTTGCAAAATCAGCAGCGAAAATTCTAAAACAAAAAAATAAATCAGTGGTTAAAATACAATTTATTTGTGGATGCGCAGCAAATAGTGAAATGCAGCCGATTGTATGCAGCTGCAAGCGACTGTCGACCACCTTCCATTACAACGCGCCAGCCAGCCAGCAGGCCAGGCTACAGCGCCGTCGCCGCCAACGCCAGCAAAGTGAGCCGCTGAGTCGCGTTGGAATTTACATAAATGAAATTAAATTCATCCGGTTAAACAATTTATGTGGAAAATTTGCGCATGAATAAGAGGAACACAAGAAAAAAAAAAATCGAGAAAATATTTGCCGAAAACGCGTAACATTGAACGAGGTTTGGTGCACCGAAAAAATACCAACGACTGTGAAAAGAGGTGAAAAATAAGAAGTAAATGGCATAAAGTGATAAAAATAAATATATGATTGAAATAAACTAACAAATTTGTAAAAATAAAACGAATGTTGGGAAATAATTTGACAGTGCGCACAGTGGGTTCCTGTTAGTCATATTCTTTGTTTGACAATAGACGGATAAAAAAATTTAGTGTTAAATTTTGGGTTTAAAAACACAAGGAGGGAAGAATTTGTTATCAACAAAAAATTTATCGAAAAAGTTAAAAATTTAAATGTGGTATGAATGCGAATAAAATTAACCCTCTACAGCATGTGAATAACAGCAGAGAAGTAAAATAGCAACAACAACAAAAAATTTACCTGCTAAAATTGCTTTTTGGATAATATATTACAACATTTAAAGCATACAATATTTAACTTACCGCATTGAAAAGTGTTTCAAAAGTGGTAAAAATTTTCGAGTCCACAAAATGCTGCCCTCAACCTCGTTGATAGTGTAAAAATTTGTGAAACTGAAATTAAAAACGAGAATATATTAATCAGCCGCTTGACCGCGGCTTTTTTGAAACACCAACCCATTTGTTGAAATCGAAAAAAAAATAAATAAAAAATACCTACTCCGAAAACGCTTAGATTCAACGAATGCATTCATCACTAGCGCATGCGCTTAGTAGTTAGGCTAAAGCACATATAAACATACATATATCTACTTGCTAAACCCTAACTAAAAGTGCAACGACAATTTAGAAAAATAAATAGCGCCAGAAAACAAAGAAAAAAGCCTATACAAATTTTCCAACGACAAAACTGGATTATCAAAATGTGGCTGTTGATCAACAACAACACATTTCCCAAATCGGATATTTTTTGGATAAAATTTCTGACAATTCTGCTGCTAATTTGTGGATTTATTGGCAGCGGTAATGCGGCGGGTAAGTGTTACTTCTAAGATCTTTCTATACCCAACTTAAAAATAGTATTTAACTGTTTTTTCATACGCTCTCAATCGTCTCCAAATACTTTTTTTCTAATGAAGAGCACTAACTCTTCACAAATGCTTTCAAATCTTAGTTCTATGTTCCACATTTCTTTTAATGTATCCTCTTCTTTTTGACCAACCAGCGTATATTAAATATTCTTACTTTGTTCATGCAACATTTTCTACATCATCAATTTCCTGATGTTACCTCTTCTCATACTTGTATGTACCCGTATTCCTCTCATTTTATGTATCTCTCCCCATTTACCTTCACCTTTCTACAACCTAACCTTCTTCTACGCCAGTCGCAGTCGTTGCATTTTCTTCGCATTTACTGTGGTCACCGTTTTCCTTCGTTGCTTTTTTTTTTTTTTTTACTTTATTTTATTTTGTTGTTGTTGCGGCTACTTGCTTCTTGTGTTGTTGCTGGGCCCGTTTCGTTTGTTTTCTTTTCAACCACTAGCACTCACCTCCTCAGTTTGTGTTCTCTTAACCACTTATTTAGCCAGTCAAGCAGCCAAACGGCCAGCCAGCCAGTTAGTTAGTCAGTCGTTCGACCAGCCATTTTGTTTCTGTCTACGGCAGCAAAACTGGATCGAGACTCGTTCAGGATCATATTGCCTTTTGCCACATACATACACGCAAACACACTCATGCACTCGTATATACTTAAGATACTTATGCCGATCGCTTGCATTGTGTGTATTCAACGTGCAACGAAATCTGTTTTTGAGCGTGAATGCGGGTATCTGTGGTGTGTGCTCACGTTTGGGTGAACATACATATGTGTGTGTAACTGCTGCAAAAAGATTTCAGCGGAATTTCGGTATCTACCAGAAAATCTATCCTAATTGAGTTCTAAGGAATTCGTTCATTAGCAGATTTGTCGCTTTTTTCACATCTTGATGAGTGGTTTTAGCGTTCCTAATTATCTTAATTTGGTATTTAATATTATCGAGCAATTAATTTGGAAAGGCTACTAAAATACATATGTACATACATATACTTTAGTAAGATTATTTGTTGTTCGAAGAAGCTAGTTGATTCGAGCTTTATAGCACCAAGAACGGATAAGTCGCCGTATCAGCTTCAAAATAAATTCTCTACAGAGAAAAATGCCATTGTATTAAATTCTCTGGAGTAAGGTAATATCTCCTTGTCGAGCTGCACTGGCCTAAATATATGTAGCTTTTTAAGATCTTGTCGCACTTAGGTGCATATGAAACATAAAAAATATATTTATTGGGAGACAATATTAAAAGATTATGAAAGTGTAAATGGGAGTGTGCCGATGTGTTGATCCTTGACCGGTTTATCCCAGATCGATATGATATCATATAACTGACAATTTGTCCAGTATCTTTCTGGGTATATATGTGGAAGAGCGTCTGTCTAGGTTCCAATTTACGGCGATTTTTACTATTAAGTAGGGATGCAAAAAAACATCGATGCATCGGAAACATCAATGTTTGCTATTCGATGTATCGAATAAAACCGATGTTTTGGACCTTCTGATATACATCGATATATCGATGTATTTTTGTCTATGCATCGACTTTTGTGTGCAATGTACACTGTACATTAGACTGCATCACTCCTTGTAGAAAAAGAAACGGTACTGTTTTTCCATTGGAATTATAAAATCTATTATCTTTTAAGACGTTGAGTTTCGTCAATTTCGCTTTTATCAATTCTGGCATTAAAACTTGGTTTTGTTGCATCCTCTGCCCGATTTCGGCTTAGCTCCTCATCCCGATGGACTGAAAACATTAGTACTGCAACGTTATGGGTGCTTTCGCACAAGCGGAAATAATTTATTAACATGTTTTTTTTTTAATTTTTACTCGAATCAAAAAAACTTCATAATCACTCAAAGGGGTTGCTATGAAAGTCAAATGAGGGAAAAAATTATGATAATAAATTGCCAAATATTGGTACATCGGTGATTGCTAGCTGGCACACTTTATATTATTGCATTATGCTTATAAACATTTAACAATTGTCGCCTCTTCCGTATCTTCCGAAAATTTTTTTCGAAGACTTCCCAAAAGAACAGAAAAAACTGGGATTTGTAACTGTCTAACTCAATTAATACATTTCACTGTAAATTATTACTTAAACACTTATCGAAGTTACGATTGTTTAATTTTCTTGTATATTTTGAATTGAAAGAAACTGTTGATATTTTCATACGATGCATCGAAAATATCGATGTTTTTATGTATCGTATATCGTGTATCGATGCTATATTTCGATCCATCAAATAAAAAAAAAAACATCGATGTATTTTTTTGACTTGCATGCATCCCTACTACTAAGAATACTGGAATTAGATTGATGGCGATTTTATTTAGTAAACTACAAGTTACAGATATTTGAATCCATAGTGTCCCCAGAATATTAATAAACCCTTTGCTTGGTTACAGTGAGACAGAAACTAACTCAAACTTAACTAACCGATATTAGACTAATCATCGATTAATACGAGCATCGAATCTGTGCGTTTTAATGTTTCTTATCTAAACCGTAATAAATCTTTTGCTGAGTTGTGCTATTATTGCACAGAACCCTCGAGTTGTATTTTTTTATGCCCGCAAATCGTTTAGGCATTTTATTAAGTCCAAATTTAAAAGTTTTTGTGTTTAAAAAACGCCATTTAAGGATTTTCCATTACTCACATTTCTCGGAAAATATTTTGTGTTCGCCTGCAGAATTGTCTTTCCTTCCATAAATTTGAAAGTACAATTATTTTTTATTACCACTTCCATTGTTACCACTCATTAACTTAATTTTTATTAGCTTTTTCTTACATACCCGTACATACATATGCACTTTGCATGTGAAAATATTGTTTTATTTTATTTAGCTAAGTATGTAGTTGCTGAAATTATTTTTCCATAAAATTATGAACACATAGTTAATAATAATAATAATAGATTGGCGCTTACACGTTATGTTAGTGTTTGGCCGAGCTTCTCCTCCGTTTTTGTGGCGTGCGCCTTGATGTTGTCACACAAAGGAGAATGGCAATTGTATTTTTATGAGAAGCTGTTTTTCGTGGCAGAAATATATTCTAAGGTTTGCCATTGCCTGCCGAGGGGCGACCGCTATTAGAAAAAAACCCCTTTTTGTTTTATTTTTTATTTTTTAATGTTGGGTTGAATCGGGTTTGTACCCGCTGGGGCCGGGTAGCGCGCACTGCTAACCACTACCCCACAGCGGCCGTCGTGTGCATAGTTACCTAGCTAATAAATAAATTGTGATTTTAAAATTAATTTTTTTTTGTAATGAATGTGCCTTTCTTTTTTGGTGGCATACAAAATTTGCATGCTAAAAGTAATTGTACGAGTATTAGTCGCCATAACCATTGCCCAAGCTGTCAAATTTCAAATTAGTTTTAAGGCGAAATTAAATATTATTGCATAGGTCTAGTTCCATTTAACATGAGATATATGTACTATAATTATAACCAATGACGGTAAGCTTTGATGCAGAAGTACTTAAAAGTTATGTAATATAACGAAGCATGCATTTCTTACATAACAAAAGTGTGGTATTAATATTAAAAATATGTGGAATTGAAATTTTTACTCATTCCAGGAAGTGTAGCAAATCGATAATAGCTTAAGTGAATACTTGCATAAAAATTTTACAGCTTAGAAAAATATATTTCACAACCATGAAATATTAATATTAATAAATATTTTTTTGATTTGATAACTTAACAGTTCGGTCATGTATGTAACTGCTCTTGTTGAATTGAATACATACATATATGTGAACGAAAACTCTTTGGTAGCTTGAATATAATTTTGAAGACTTCCCAAAAACGGATGAGCACAAATTGTTTTATTTTCAACACCTGAATTATTATTGTTTATTTAATAAATTTGTTTGCTTTTTTTCTCAAGTGACTTTTCAAAATTTATTCCCACACCAAATTTCCCAGTTGACCCAACAAAAATTTGTAAATTTTTTTTATAGATTTCAACGGTTCATTGCTTAGCAGCTATCAGCAGACAACATAATCCTTTTGCAAATATATTCCGTTTGCAAAAAATATTCAACATCCTCGAATTGCACCACTTGAGTGTATTGAAAAAATTAAATTTTAAATTCACCTGTCACATTTTCCTTACGAAATTGTTTAACTAAAGATTTCTTATCGCTATTTGAGCAAAATATTTTATTGTTTACAGATAAATTCCACAGATTAAATGACTTGGCTTGTAAATATTAAAAACAAATAGAAATGAATGGCATACAAATGACCAAATATCTTCAGAAATTTGATTGGTAATGGTCGCTTTTTTACTTTAAACTTACTTTTAAGTGCCGGCCTCTGTAACCGATTAGTTATTTGTAAGTTCATACTATCACTCGGTAAAACCCAGTTTCGTGTCTTGATCGGCGAGACACTCTACACACAGTCGCTTTTCGGCAAGAATTGACAAACCTCGGAGAGTATTTTCGCCATGATAAAGCTTCTCACAAACACAGCCGGTTCGTAGACTTTGTATTTTTTCAGCTACCAACTTACTTTTGAGCAGTGAAAAGCGCAATTTTTCCCCAATAAATACATTACTATGTAGAGATTTACATCGGTCTTGCAGTAAGACACTTAGTAAGTTCTTTGGATAGGTAGGATAGTTATTAGAAAAGTCATATGTCTGTACATACAGGTATTAAAAAATTGTTTATGTTTGAAAGGATATACATACATCCATAGTGTAAAATGATTCAACTTGAGCTCATTAGCTGACGAGATGTTAAGTCGGTCGGTCTTATCTTTCTGGTGTAGACCAATGAACAATTCGCATTTCCTTTACAAGTTAGGAGGTGAAGAACCTATTGCAGGTGGACCTAATGGCCACTTGGATGTCTGAAAACATAACCAATGAATCGCTTTTCAAGGTTTAATCTGGCACAAGTGAAGATTGCCAGCATCTGTGC